CACAAAGCAGGCAAAAGTCTTATTCTGATGTCCGACGTCGTGATCTGGAGTTTGAGGTTGGTGATTGGGTTTTCCTGAGGATCTCGCCGATGAAGGGTGTTATGCGTTTTGGGAAAAAGGGTAAGCTGAGTCCACGGTATATCGGTCCGTACAAAATTCTTCGACGAATTGGACAGGTTGCTTATGAGTTAGAATTGCCATCCGAATTGGAATTTGTCCATCCAGTATTCCATGTATCTATGTTGAGGAAATGTATTGGAGACCCTTCTCGAGTTGTCCCTATCAAAGATGTACAAGTTACAGAGGATCTATCATATGATGAAGTGCCAGTGGCTATATTAGATCGACAAGTCCGCAAGCTGAGAACAAAAGATGTAGCTTCTGTCAAAGTATTGTGGAGGAACAAGAATATGGAAGAAATGACATGGGAAGCGGAAGAGGAGATGAGTTCTAAATATCCTTACCTATTCCAGAATGAAGATAACAAGGATGCTGGTGGAACGCAGGATACATTAGAAGGTGAAACGGCTCTATGAGGTAAGCAATAACTTGAGAATACTCTTCCTTAATACAAAATGGTGATATGTAGATAATGTACATGTCCATAATGCTTTGTGTAGCCTTGTGAGGCCATACGTTGGGCTTAACTGCTTGCAAGTTTTGCTAGTAACCATTTTATAGGGGAAAATTGACCGGGAATTTCCGTTGGAATCCACGATGATTTGGACTCCCCATAAACCCTTACATTCGAGGACGAATGTTCCTAAGGGGGGGAGGGTGTTACAACCCATATTCACATACGTTAGTTCATGCCATAAGGTCGTCGACGTAAATCCATGAAGAGATTATCTTTGAGATGATAAGAGATTAATCCTATTGGTCTTAAATGATACAAAGGTGTATAAGGGTGGTTAACAAGTATTAGAAGTTAAACGAATCAAGGATGTTGTCAGCCGTATTTTTGGGTAAACCTAGGGGTGCTTAATACTCTCAAGAGGTCGTATTTTAAGGTATATGAATCATAAAATATCCGTATCATAGTCTTGAAGTCAAACGAGTTATGAAACAAAAGTCGACAAGAGTTGTTGCAACTTAAGTTCATAGTTTTACTTAAACTTTAGGTCAAATGTTATTAAGCTTTTCTCCCAATATACTTGGAATTACGGGGTGATCTACCCACCAAATTGAAGATCTATGAGTCTAGTTTCCAACGCATTAAACCTTTTATCAATACGACATTGGAGTAGAGAGATATAGACATTTTTGCGAGACTGCACAAGCTGCTAGGTGACAAGTAGGTGGGTCACCTACTTGGTTAAATGATAGCCCAAAAAGAGGCAATTTCGGGTCAGACAAAGAGCCCATTAAAAGGCTTATCTTCTGCAATATATCCCTCATTATATTTCACAAATAACCAGACCTAAACCCCTGCAAACTTCCTCCCAAAAATTATCCACAAACCCTAATTGATTTTCCCTCTCTTTCAAGTTCAAATTGGGGGTAAACCCTAGAGTTTGAAGAACCAAGATAAGGGCTGAGTTATCCAACAAGTAAGGTGAGTTTACTGCTATCTTTCATACATTTATTCTGCTGTGAATTCATGGTAATTCGTTCTATACATGTAAGAACTCACGGGACGGTGATCGGAAGCCGTGAGTTCGAGTTATTCACTTGTAGCGGACTGTTTTGTGGACTGTTTTGTGTTGCTGTTGGGCTGCGTGTTTTACTACTGTTTTGTGGAGTTTTGGAGGAGGAAGGGTGTGGAGAAACACCATATAGATGTAGGGTTGTGGGCTGGTAGTTCTTCGTAACATTTCCGGGTCGTTTGACACGACTACGGTGGCCGTCGTATGTATGAAGTGATTTGGTTGTGCGTGGACTGTTTTGGGAGGCTCAATATGATTATTATTGATGTTGTTTGGGCTGTTTGGTGATTGTTTGGAATTGTGTGAAGTCATATATATAGGGGAGGTGCTGTCCGTTTCATCGTAAAATAGGTTGTGGTCGATACATAATAGTTATGACGCTTGAATGGTAACTATAGTATCGTTTCTCTTATTGTAGACTAAGGAGTCGTGAAAATTGCATAGCTTGAGATTGGGGCAGTATATACAAGGTATGTGAGGCTATCCCTTTCCTTCTTTTGCACGACTCCGATTGTACATAATGTAATGAACGAGCTTCCAAAGATACTCTACTCTTAGAAGCTAGCAGTACTTACATTGTTTCCCCTCTTATGGAACGATTGATGTTGATGTTGCTTCTCTTATTCTTATGTTATCAATGTTATTGGTACTTCCTGATTCTTATAAGGTTCATGGTGAAGAGTTAGTCCTAATAACGTGTACAGAGGATACCGACCTTACGTCACTCCGAAAGGTTTAGAACGTGAGTCCATGAGTCGAGCATGCATTATATATATGTATCTATTTTACTCTACCGAGCCGCGCTATAGTCGGCCGGGTACGGCACCTATTGTGCAACCACTGATCAGTTGGGTTTTACCGAGCTCCACGTGGCCGGGTACGTTTTTACCGAGCCTATTACGGCCGGGTACGATATGATGATGATGATGCCCACAGAGGCGTATGTTTTAAAAGTTTATGTATATATACATATGTATCACGCATTTCATGTCAGTAGCCCTTAGAGGTACCCAGATGTTACAGGTTGTTTATTCTCTATCCCTGCTTACATTACTGTTCGTACTTATGGTTCCCTGCCTTACATACTCAGTACTTTATTCGTACTGACGTCCTTTTATTTGTGGACGCTGCATATCGTGCTGCAGGTCCTGATAGACAGGCAGGCGCAGCTCCCCCACCATAGTAGGCTGTCCAGTTCAGCGGTGATTGGCGAGATCCCTTCTTCGGACTTGCCTTGGTCTTGGTATGCATTTTTGTTATAGATATTATGGGTATGTCGGGGCCCTGTTCCGGCTATGTTGCAACACTTATGTTCCTTTAGAGGCTCATAGACAGGTGTCGACTCATGTATAGTTTGGTAGGCCTTGTCGGCTGGTTTTTGTTGTATAGTCTCTCATGGTAGTGTGGTAGCTCGTACCGTATATATAGTTTCTTGATTGTCTAGTCATCCCATGTTATGTATGTTCATGCTATCATATTTTATTGTTGGTTGTCCATGACCCATGTCCACCATTTATATTGATTTCGTCAGCCCTAAAAGATAATAAAGAAGGTTAGATAAAATGTATGTTGGTACTCGGTAAGTATGGCCGGGTGCTAGTCATGGCCCTCCGTTTGGGTCGTGACACGCGTTCGCGTAGAAGGAATTTCCTTTAGCAGAAATTAACACATCGCGTTCGCGAGGGTCCTCCCGCGAACGCGAAGAAGGAAATATCAGAATACCAACAGCTGAAAACCTGCAACTTTTTAAGAGTTTAAAACCTTCCGAAACACATCTGAAACTCACCCGAGCCCTCGGGGGCTCCAAATCAAACATACGTACTAACTCAAAAACACCATATGAACTTATCCGTGCGATCAAATCGCCAAATTAACATCATTAACATCGAATTAAACCTCAACATCATTGAATTATTTCAAACTTCTTAAAACATCAAATTTTGAAATTTAGATACGAATCACGTCAAACGGATTCCGTTTCTTACCAAACTTCACAAAATTATCTTAAACCACATATAAGACCTGTACCGGGTGCTGGAACCAAAATACGGGCCCGATACCAACATGTTCTAATCAAAATTCATTTCCAAATCCTTTAAATAATTTCAGAAAACAATTTTCTTTAAAAACTCATTTATCGGGCTTAGGACCTTGGAATTCGATCCGGGCATACGACCAAGTCCCATATTTTCCTACGGACCCTCCGGGACCGTCACATCACGGGTTCGGGTCCGTTTACCTAAAACGTTGACCGAAGTCAAATTAATTCATTTTATAGTCAAAGTTTATCATTTTTCACATATTTTCTCATTTAAGCTTTCCGGCTACACGCCCGGACTGCGCACGCAAAACGAGGCGAGGCTAAAAGAGGTTTTTAAGGCCTCGGAACACATAATTCAATTTATAAGCAAGTGATGACCTTTTAGGTCATCACAGTTAGATAGTTGAGCGGCAGTTTTAGGTTTTGCAGAGAGAATTTAGGGAAAGTGATATCTAAATATGTATTTTATAAATAATAATCTAAAATCAATTTTCTTTTTCAAACTTAAAGAAAGAAAAAAACGTATCCCTTAATTAACTGCAAAAATTGTGGGATTCCATGTTCTAGTTAACTACCGAAGGTTTAAAAATTTTTACGAACATCTTTTCTATGTTATTTTTTAAATTCCCAGGTTTTAATAAATAATGTAAATTAACTGCCAAAAAATGTGTTTTGTGTGTAATATTTTAACATAAAGACGTGAGACCCCATGATGTTGAATAACTGAATTGGTTAATTATTTAAATTTTGTATTTGTATTTTTTTTCCTTTTTATTTTTTTGAATCTCCAAATTTATTGGAAACATGATACGTGTCGATATTTTATTTTCACACTTGGCATAATATCATGAATTTTCTTCTCCTTTTATATATTAATATTTGTATTTTTTTTCCTTTTTATTTTTTTGAATCTCCAAATTTATTGAAATTTTGTCCTAAAACATGACACGTGTCGATATTTTGTTTTCACACTTGGCATAATATCATGAATTTGCTTCTCCTTTTATATATTAATTAATAAATTAATTATAATTAATAATTAATAATAATAATAAAATAATAATAATTAATAATTGATAGACATAGATATAAATTATGATCTATATTACTTTGTAATAGTTGTATTGTACCATGTGGATGTAGAATGGTACTCCAATACATATTTCTTCGCCCAAAAAACATCGCATCACAATTTGACACCTCTCTCTCTCTCTCTCTCTCTCTCTCTCTCTCTCTCTCTCTCTCTCTTCTGGAGACTTTTCCGGTGAGTTACATTTCATTCTGATACTTGGTATCGCCCAACTCCCACATATTCTGATCTGTTCTGATTTGATTGTCATATCCAATTTGCATCTTGGCTTGAATCTTGAATAGTTTTGATCTTTTGGGCATTTGAGTCGTATACATTGATTTCCTTTTTACTTGTTTATACTTAAAGTGATCAGCGAATTCTGAATCTTAGAGGGTTTTGTCGAATAATTTTGTTTTGCTTGATTGGGGAATGAATGGATTATTAGTTTCATTACACCCATTCTGAAGTCCTTTCTTAATTACTGAAATTAAGTTTCAATTATTCCTTTTTTCCCCTTAAGTTTCAATTATTCAGCTTGGAGACTTTTCTTTTTCCAAAATATAATATTTTTCACCTTGGTAATGAGTTATCACGAAGCTTAACTTGGACTTAGTTTTTAGGTACGTTTTAGAGGATCCATAGTAACAACCCCATATAATATAGCTTTTTGAAGGTTTTCAAGGGTATATTTGAAGGAACTTTCTTTGTTGTTTGAGTGGAAAGAATAATTAAAGATCTTGTTACGATTAGGATTTATGCTGGTTTTGTTTGTGTCTAGGAGAAAAAAAAGTGATGTTGTTTCTGTAGTTCAATTTCATTCATTGATTGGGAACGTATGGAATAGAACTGTCAGACCTGGATACTTCTTTTGCAGATTCGAAAGCAGTAAATAATATTTTCCAGAATTGTGGCAGAAAGGTGCAATTTTTTCTGAGGATGTTGATGAAGTGATGATAATGTGAATTCAGGTGAATAAGATGAACTTTCCCTTTTTATCCAGCAAAGATGATTTTTCCTATAGGACACAAAATATTACTTTTCCTCTTTCGGTAATTTTCTAACACTTCTCATTCCATTTATCTTGTCAGATTCAAAGTTGTAATGCTCATGAGTACATAAACTATTTATTTATCACGGCATGGATTCATCTGGTAAGATTTGAAGTCTGGATATTAAACTAGTACCTGTTTTCTCGCTTAGTTGTTTGGATATTCTTTGCTAATAATGGTAACTCTATTAAGCATTTAGCTGCACTGCTATTTTTCTGTTGGGTTGTTGTGGTAAATATTGGGAATTGTGTTCTTATGTGAATTTTATGTGAAATTCCTGAATGATTGAGGAGTAGTCTCTTAAACCGACCAAACTGGAACCCAAAAAACCACAGCTGCTGTCATCTTTAAACTTCTTTTCGCCGGAAACTCACCAGTAAATGAGTTGTTATACAACTCAATATGCACATCAGTAGTTGAACTCACTGAGTAACACAAGTTTTTAACGAAAGGTCCAGATTAACAAGCTTTTTAAGACTCCTTAGGTTATCAGGAAGCTCACAAATTAGACTCTGGATCGGCAGAAATTGTCTCTAAGTACGTATCAATTAGACTCAGAACTTCAAGTTATTGGAAAGGGAGCCCATGCTTAACTTGAGGTCGTAGAGAGCCCTAGCTGCAAAATTGGCGGAGCGTCGTGGATCACAATGAAATTCCCGGTGATGGAACATTCCTACGTCATAGAGGTGGCGCCGGGATTGGTATAGCTTAGCCAAATCCCCGGTAAGTAACTTTAATTTCCTTCACCTCGTAGAGGCTCGCAGGATGCCAATCTTCTCCATTCTAAAGCTGGCGCCTGGCAGAGCCTTGACAACGTCGGCATGTATCGATAATCGATGCTATCTGAGTACTCTTTCCAGTATACGAAGGTAAAGAATCAACAACAATATGAGAAGCCCAAGCATTGAGCCAATTGATATTGCAACAATGGCTGCTGCATAGAGATTTTTGGATTTCTTATGAACATATTTTGGTGAAGATGAAGGTGAGGGTGAAGGAAAAAATGAATACAAGGTGGCAATGGACCGCCACAATAAATATTATCAGAAAGAGATGAAGCTAGCAGGGAATACTGACAGAATACCTAGTATGGACTCATTGAGATGATTGTTTGAGACACTGAAATTTACAAGGCAGTGTAGGTTGATGCTTGGAAGAGTGCCAATGCAACCATTACCTTGCAGGAAAAGTAAATGGGTCATATTGTTAATCAAGAATGGGATAGGTCTAGTGAATTTGCAGAAGAAGGAAAATGGAAGCTAAGGATGTTTGGGTTTTTTTGCGCTGTGGAAGAAGAAGAGGGGGTGTAAAATGGAAGGTTAGGCAAATGTTAATATTAGGGGTAGTTTTAGTCCAAAATTAACATTAGGGGCTTTTAAGGTTCAATAGGTGTATGGAGGATAAACTTAAGCTAAATCCAATAGATTAGAGGCATTTTTGACACTTTTTTTTGATTATTTTGCTGTGTGGTACTTCTTCGCTAAAAATGGTAGCTCTAAAAAAAATTTAGCTGCATTGCTATTATACTGTAGGTTTATTGTGGTAATTATTGGAAATTGTGTTGTTATGTGCATTTTATGTGAAAATCATGTATGATTGATGAGTAGCCTCTTAACCCTTATCGCTTTTTGATGCATCTATGAGATTCCTATTTGTGTAGAAGATTGGGTGGCTTTTGTAGAAAACCATAAGGCTTTATATTTTTTGGTGTACTACTTCTACACAGGTGTTTCACACCCTTCATCAATAAAATTTTATTACTTCATCAATAAAATTTTATTACTTTGTCAAAGGAAAAAAAAACCGCCCTCAGAGCTATGATCCTGTGTCATAAAACAATGAAGCTCCTTGTTGATACCATTGGTGGAGAATATCCATACATGTATAAACTAGCATGTATGATAGTGTAGGCATAGGAGTGGCATACAGGGAATTCCTAGCTCCCAAAAGTCCCTAATTTGTCCTTAAAAGAGGCAAAGTTATTGAGTAGTGGAATGAAACAGCCAAAATAGTGTGATATCAATAGAGAATTCAGGTAGCCGACACCAACTACTTAGAGATTTAGGCATAGTAGTAATTGTTGTTTTATTTGAGCATGCACGTCTTTTTCCTTCACCAATCAATATGTTCATGTGAACTTTTGACCGGGGTATTCAATTCCATGCATCTTGGTTTTTTAACTTCATTTACTACTTAAAAGTGCCTTTTGGAGGTTAAATCCACTGGGATCTCTGAAAAGTTGATTATCTAGTGCTTTTTGAAGGAACAATTTTTGGGTGTCTCATTTTGTTTTGCTCCGTTTGATAGATACAGCTATCATGATTCATGAGCTACAATGCTAGTGCGATAAAACCATCCACTTTTTCACCTTTGCTTGCTAGAAAGAGTGAACATGTGCAGCTGTATAGCTTCTTTTGTCTCTTACATATTTTTTCTAATTGAATAGTGTGTTCTATTTTTCTGGTCTGCTCACTCATTTTATTTCTTACTCACTTCAGCTGGACATCCGCGGGATACATCTGTTGTTGTTGTTACACTGGAATCTAGTGAAGTATATATTGTTGTTAGTTTGTCTTCAAGGACCGACACTCAGGTGATCTATGTTGATCCCACAACTGGAAATCTTCGATACAATGAAAAGACAGGATATGATGTTTTCAATTCTCAAAGTGAAGCCTTAGATTATGTGACGAATGGTTCAAAATGGCTGTGCAAGAGTATAACCTATGCCAGGGCTGTGCTAGGATATACGGCCCTTGGGAGCTTTGGTTTACTTCTTGTTGCGACAAAGTTGTCAGCCAGCATTCCAAATTTGCCTGGGGGTGGATGTGTATATACAGTAACTGAGAGCCAATGGATCAAGATTTCACTTCAAAACCCTCAGCCACTGGGTAAAGGTGAATTAAAGAATGTTCAAGAAGTGACAGAGCTTGACATTGATGGCAAGCATTATTTTTGTGAATCGAGGGACATTACTAGACCTTTTCCAAGTCGTATGCCCTTGCAGAATCCTGATGATGAATTTGTGTGGAATAAATGGTTTTCAGTGCCCTTCAGAAAGATTGGACTTCCAGAGCATTGTGTCGTTCTTCTGCAGGTTTTACTTCGTACTTGGTACCCTTAGATACTGTACTTTTTTTGGTGTGGCATTTGACACTTGCAATAAGTTACACTTCTATGTGTGTGATGCAAGGGAAAAAAAGGAAAAACAAAATAATGGCTTATGATCAATTTTGCTGTACTTTGTCATTCTAAATCACTGCCCTTTGTGCAAGTTTGTTTACTTTACTGCATTCTGTGCTTCCTACTGAACAGCTGTTATGAAGCTGCAAACAAGTATTTATGCATCAGAGTTATATGTTACTATTCATAGGTGGGTATAGATGAATTTTTGCACGTGATTAAAGAGTGAGCGCTCATTAAGCTTGACTTTTAGCTTGTTTGTCTATTAAAGCAACCAAACTTGAGCTTGCTGTCGAGCTCAATTTAAGCAAACTGAGCTTTTTGGCTTGGCTTGTTTAATGTCCACGAACAAGCTTCTGTCCTACCCCCCCCCCCCCCCCCTCTCTTATGTGTGTGTTTGTGTGTGTTTCTTTTTAAAACTTTTGAGGTCTAAATATGTGATTAGGAGCTACAGTTTCCACTTAACTCAGCTTGTTATTAAAGCACTTTGTCGATGTCATGCAATAGTTTGGCCAATCTTTGAATCTCCAGTTAAAGCATTACCTTCTAAGGTTGAGGCTCCAATTTCATTGTGCTAGCAATGATAAACTGACTTCCCAGTATCCAAAACCAACTAATAATGATCAGGGAAAGTACTGTTTAGGGGGGATTGACCTAACAATTCATCAATGCAATAAAGTTCTTCCTTCCATCACCTAATTTGATTGCAATGTTAGCCTTAAATTGTAGCCAGAGACTATGAATATGCTTTTAGAGGCTGAAACGATGAGGGGAGTTCACAGAGTCGGTACACCAAGCCTTGCGATCCCCATACTTGCATTTAATCAAATTCCTCCATGGGTAACCTTCTTCTTTTCCATATCTCCATAGCCATTCTACCACAATGAGTTGTTTTAGTTCTTCAAATTTTTGATCCCAAGACCACCTACTTTCTTTTCCAGCAACACTTTGTCCCATTTAATCAAGTGGAAGTTCCTTTCCCATAAGAAGTCTCTTTTGATTTATCCAATGTTTTCCTCACCTTAGAGGGTCTTGGAGAAACATACATTAGATTGATTGGAAGAGAATCAAGTACACTGTTAATTAGGACCACTCTAACTCCAAGTGAGAGATATAGCCTTTTCCATATATCCAATTTCTTTCAAACTTTGTGATGACTCCTTGCCATATTTCTTTGGCTTTATGTCGGGTCCCCAAATATGTTGTTGGAAGTTCCCCTAGGCCCTATCTAGCCTCCAAAATTAATCACAAGATCTTGCATCTCGTTCACAGGATACGTAAAATCTTTTCTCAATGTTGATTTTTAGCCGCTACACTGCCTCAAAAATCCGCAAAATGACTCTTAGATTCCTTAATTGGTTTTCCTCAGCTCCACAACGGATTAAGGTGTCATTTGCATAGAAAAGGTGCATACCTTCAATTCTTTGAAGATTCCTTGCATTCACTGAGAAACCCTTGATCCAAGTTAAGATCCCTAGTTTTGCATAACATTTTGCTAAGCCCTTCCATGACCAGAACAAATAGGAAAAGGGATAGAAGGTCCCCTTGTCTCAACCCCCTGCGAGAAGGAAAGAAAATCTTCTGGGAGTTCCATTCATAATGATGGAAAATGTGACAGTGGAGATGCATAAACTTATCCATTTGATCTATTTCTCACCGAGCCACATCTCTGTCAGCATATTGAGTAGGTAGATCCAATTTACATCGTCAAAAGCTTTTTCAATGACCAATTTGCAACACAAGCCAGCCCCCCTTTGTCTTTTCGTTGAGTTTAAACATTTGTTGGCAATGAGAATCACATCAATGATCTGTCTTCCTTAATAAAGGGCAAATGTACTTTATCAAAAAATAAAAAATAATGGGCAAATGTGTGTCAGAAGCTAACTTTAGCATAACCTCTTAGTCTCTATGTCAACAACTTGAAGATGATCTTATAAAAGCTCTCCACCAGCTGATATGTCTGATGTCCTTAAGCTCTTCTGGTCCAAGCTTTAAAAGTTAGGGTATGCTGCAGTTGGCTCATTAGTAAGATATGTGCCCTGTTTTGACCTTTGACAAGTTGAAGGCATAAAGTTATGAAACTATGCGTCAAATTTGTTTTTTCTTGCTTGAATAGAAATATTATCTAATGCTTTCATATATAGACTCCTCTTGGCGATCATGTTGGTCTTCTGTACAATGGTCACTGTTACTGTTAGAGTTAGTTCATGTAAATAAGTATAGTCCCACATGGAATATGAGTAATGTATATATTGTGTATTGTTATAAATAGGGTCCTTATATTATAGTTTAAACACATCAATAATATATTTTTCTCCCGTGCTTTCTCACTAAGCAATCGTGAGAGATTTATCGTTGTGCACAAATTCCAGCGACTCCGGGAAGAAAACAATTCAGTTAACTAGTCTTTTTTTCCCGGCAAATCAGGGCTGTCCACAAGAAAGTTATTTTCCATCGGTCTAAAAACCAACACCACCACGGGGTAGATCAGCCTCCGGCGACCAAACCCCAAAATTTCTCCGGCGCAAAGTGTGCTACGCGCTCTCACGCGCTGTTAGCAGAGTTTTTTCCGGTGGAGGTCCGACTCACGTGCCGGCGCATGTGGTCATTTCCGCCAAATTTCGGAGAACTTTTTTCGGACAACTTGTTCGCGAGGTTTTCCTGAGCATACCCATCAAAGTTTCACCAAAATTCGATAAGTTTTTTATTTTCCAGCGATTTTTTGGGAACTTAGGCGACTGTTTTTGCAGATTCCGGTGATTTTTTCTGCTTCATCTCTTCAATCCAAGCCTACCCACTCAGGTGTCAATAGTTTCAGCAAACTTTTTATTTTTTCGGCAAAAGTTCTATTTTCCGGCAACTACTGTGTGTCCTTCGCCTATTTCAAGGAGTTATAGTTGATTCTTTCCATTATTTGGTGATAATTTGCTGGATCTCTCTTCATCCCAACGATAGTCTTTGGGATTTGATGTTTATGGTTCTAAAAGTACGGCTTCTGGAAGTTAAAGTGTTATGATTACTTCGGAACCTTTAGGGGAAAGTTCAAACTACTTAGCTTGGGCTTCGTCTGTTGAGTTATGGTGTAAAGGTCAAGGTGTTCAAGATCATTTAACCAAAAATGCTAATGAGGGAGATAAAAAGACCAAAGCGCTTTGGGAGAAGATCGATGCTCAGTTATGTAGTATCTTGTGGCGATATATTGATTCCAAGTTAATGTCCTTGTTTCGTCCATTTCGGACATGTTACTTAGTTTGGGAAAAGTCTCGCACTTTATACACTAATGACATATCTCGTTTCTGTGATGTGATATCACGGATGACAAATTTAAAGAAACAGGAACTAGATATGCCTACTTGGGATGAGTACATGCAGTCATGGAGGAATTTGAGAAGTTGATGCCGGTTTCTGCTAGTGTTGAAAAGCAACAAGAGCAGCGACGAAATATGTTTCATAGTTCTTACCCTCGTTGGACTTCCTAATGATCTTGACTCGTTATGCAACCAGATTTTGGCTAGTCCGACTGTCCCTATAGTTGATGAATTATTCTCTCAATTACTTGTCCTTGCGGTAGCACCCAGTCACACAACATCACAGGTCTCGCATCCCAGACTGTGGAAAATCGGGCATCTCAAACTATGGAGAATAGACGAGGAGGAGGTCGCTTTGGAAGATCTCGACCTAAGTGTTCTTATTGTAATAAGCTTGGACACACTCGTGAGGTATGTTACTCTTTGCATGGTCGACCACCTAGAAATGCTCATATTGCTCAGACCAGGACGGTAGGTAACATGGATTTTCTTTATTTGAAGGGGGAGTATAATGAATTCCTTCAGCATCGAGCAACTAAGCAGACACTTCCACAAGTAGCCTCTGTCACTCAGATGGATACTTTTGCCGTTGGTAATTTCTTTGCTTGTGTTTTCTAGTCTACTACTCTTAGACCATGGGTCATGGACGGGTCACGTCCAATCCTACTCTCAAATTGAAAGTATTACGGTCAATCGCAATAATAAACCCAACAAGGTTGGGTCGATCCCACGAGGAGTATGGTGTGTGCTAGAATCAAAGAGTTCGTGAATTCAATGAACTTAAAGTAATCTTCAAATAAAAGATTGATTTTCTGCAATTACTTCTAAAAGTTATAACTTCGAAGTTTAATCAAACACTTAGAATGTGAACATAATTAGAAAGTAGTAACCAATGAGAAAAAGCACTAGGGTTGCTCCTCCTTCGTGTATGCTATGCTATGGGTGTAGATGTATTCGATTCCAATCAATCAAACATGTATTATGACAACAATATCAATAATACCAACTTAGTATTTTCCAACACTAAGAGGTTTTTGCTCACAAATGTCTTTCCAGGCTATTTAGAGCTCTATGCAATACAATTGTTAATGCCCAAGTAAGAATCTCCCTATTCCTAGTTTGATTCTATCAATTGAGATGAGATTAATTCCTTAATCTACCAAATTCTTTGCTAATTGCTTTATACCTAAACTCGGTTCCACTTTTCCAAGTTAGAACTAAGTGTGATAGGCGTTAATCTAGTGTTTGCAACCACCAAATCATACAAGAAAGCATGGAGCAATTAGATAACACAATATTTAATCAAAGACAAATCTATATTAATAACCCATAGTCATAACACCATTCCAGATTCATAACCCTAGCTAATGAATTTAGGTAGACATGACAATAGAAGAAATAATCAAATTATCCTTTAATCCTGTCATTGATACTAATAGAGAAGAAGAAGATTGAGAAACCGTGATGTCACTTGTCAACCCTGAGGAAAACTCACAGCCGCTCGCACAATATTCCTCTTTGTCAAAAGTTATAAAAAAAGACCAAAAAAGTACTATTTATAGTCTTCTGAACAGATGGACAAAATTATCCTCGTCGGGTCTTGCGTGGCCAGGTAGCGTGGCCCACGCAGGATGCGTGGCCACTTCCAGAACTTAAACTTTCAGCCTCCAAGCTCTCCAACTGCGTGGGTGACCTACGTGGCCCACGCAGGATAGACTTTTGCTTCTTTAGTTTCCTTCTTTAGTTTTGGACTGAATTTGATGTTTTTCTTGCAGTTGCAGGTATTTGATGATTTTCAATTTTATTAATTCTCACCCAACTCCACGACCTACAATTATAACATTCAAAACATAATTAGTCCATTAATACATCAACCGGGGCAAAACTTTATTAAAGGCATAAAAGAAGTTGGGAACCTCGTGCAGAATATCGAGCCATGGCTATGGCAACATGTGAGCTAGTTTGGATCAAACATTTGCTCAAAGAATTAAAATTTGGAGAAATCAACTAGATAGAACTTGTGTGTGATAATCAAGCTGCCCTTCATATTGCATCAAATTAAGTGTTCCATGAGAGGACTAAATACATTGAGATTGACTGTCACTTCATCATAGAGAAGATTCTCTCAGGAGATATTGTTACAAAGTTTGTGAAGTCAAATGATCAACTTGCAGATATTTTTACCAAGTCCTTCACTGGTTCTCGTATTGTTGTATATGTAACAAGCTCGATACATGTAATTTGTTAGATAGTTATGTGTAAATTATCCTAGTCCTATATGTAGTAGGAGTAAAATATGTCCTTGTCCCTTATATAGTAGGGGTAGAATATGTATTATATATAGGACTAATTGTATCATTGTTAATAAATGGATTTTTTTCCCGTGCTTTCTCACATGATATCGCAACTTCAGTGAGAATATTATTGATGTGCGTCATTTTAGCGACATCCAAGAAGAAAGATCTCATCGCCGTGCAATTTTCCACTAACTTCGTCTTGTTCCTAAGGTTCATCACTGCTACAGTGGTACTGTTCATATAGTAGTACCACCATCAGATCCGTAACCCTTGTGCGACCAAACCCCTGAAATTCCAGTCCCATCGGAACAGAAAAGTCAGTCGCCGTGCGTCTTTCTGGTTGATGATCAAGATCGATTTGTGTTATCTCCTCATCGGTAAGCGTTGTGCGAAAACCAACACTACCATCTTGTTCGGAAAAGTCAGGCAACAAAACCCCAGTTAATCGCTCCGGCAGAAAGTCTCTCACGCGCCACCAGAACTAGGGTTTCGGCGAGCGCATCTGACACGTGCCGGCGCGTGGAGCACTTTCCTGCTAGAATTTTCAAAACTTTCTTTATGACAATTGTTACGTGGGGCGATTCCGAGTCCACCAGTACAATTTCCTACTAATTTCGAGAACTTTGAAATTTTCATACGAGCTACAGTAACTTTTCCGGCGCGTGTGAGGCATTCCAGCCACTTTTTTGACAAAACTTCTTTAGGAATACTTATTCGTCCGGTGATTTCGAGCCTACCCATATAAATTACATCAAATTTTAACAACTTTTATTTTTCCAGCGTGAACAATGCACTTTTTCCGGCGTAAACAATGATTTTCCGGCGTGAACAGTAATTTCCAGAATAGTTTGTTTTCTGGTTGTGTTTTAGAACCTATTTTATAGTGTGGAATTCGGCTTAGTCTCATTATTTTCAAATTTCTACGGCGACTTTTTGGCCAACTTTTGTTTATCAGCAGCCACTTGGTTTTGTTGCTCAGGGGGAGTCTAGTGGCCTTGTATGTCGCTTGCGCTGGTAGCTTTATGGTCTAGAGCAGTCTCCTCGAGTCTGGTTTGGTAAGTTCAGCAGTTATCCAGGAGTTTGGCATGCCTCGTAGTGAAGTCGAATGATCAGCTTGCAGATATTTTCAAGCTCAGTACATATGATTTATATGCACCGGCTTGAGGGGGAGTGTTAGATAGTTATGTGTAAATAATCCTAGTCTCATGTGTAGTAAGAGTAGAATATATCCTAGTCCCTTATGTAGTAGGACTATAATATGTATTATATATAGGGCTTATTGTAACATTGTTAATAAATAGGTTTTTTCTCCCGTGCTTTCTCACATAATTTATATGCACCAGCTTGAGGGGCAGTGTTAGAGTTAGTTCATTAAATAAGTATAGCCCACATGGAGTAATGTATGTATTGTGTATTGTTATAAATAGGGGTCCTTGTATTATTGTTTAAACACATCAGTAATATATTTTTCTCCCGTGCTTTCTCACAGTTACAAATTGAATCTGATGACTTTTTTGTTTGGTGATCTTTTATCCTGGATGTTTTGAGTATTTATTTGAGAATTCTTATCAACTGCCTTTCCCTCCTCTTCTGCATTTTAACTTAAAATGCTAGTAAAATGGAGGCGTTGTCATTCCGCTTCATAGTTTAACGTGTAGCCTTCTTCTAAGACTTCTTAAATTTCTGATAGTTCTTGAAAAAAGAAACCATTAAATCATTGATCAAATTGGAGGTCGAACTTCACTACTACTATCGTTTGATAATTTGATTGGTTACTGTCTAGGCTTCTTGCTCCAGTGCATTCCATGCATTTTGTTTTTCTATTCCTGTCAATGCTGGCTGACTGTGAGTCAGAAACTGAAGTTGTAACTAGTGCAATATTCTATCTTTTTTTGATAAATAGGTTCTAAACTCTTAACTATTACATTGACCGTGATATATGAATGCTCATTGGGACGATGATAATTCATAGGGCTTTGCAGAATCCCGAAGTTTTGGAAGCTTAGGTCAGCAAGAAGGGGTTGTTGCCCTCACTGCTCGGCGTAGTAGGCTGCACCCTGGGACTCGGTATCTGGCAAGGGGCTTGAATTCTTGCTATAGTACAGGTAGCCTAAAATTACCCTGTACAACTTAAAATTGTTTTTTTCTTTTTTGCTTTTGTTGGCCTTGCGGGAACAGATGTGGTTATTATTACTTATCGAAAAAGGAGAGCAGGTTGTTTTTTACTGTGGTTCTTTGTTTCTCATCCATATTTGTTAAGAATCTTCTTTAGTAATAGCTCTGCCTTTGTTCATTTCTTCTTCCGTTAGGGTGTGTGACATAGTTCTGCAGGACCCTGCTGGTTTTGGTTAGCGTTAGTCAATATGTTTCAAACCTCATTTGTGGTGCAAAGTAGTTGTTTCTTTTCTTTCTTGAGCATTTATCTGCTCATCCTATTTTTTATTTGAATGGGCCAGTGCTCCACCGTATGTCTTTAGTGTATACTTTCTGTTCTCTGTGTGGAATGGTGGTATCAGTTCTATACCTAATTTCAATTTTTCAGCAGTGTGTTCTGATACCTGACATATATGTGTGTGTATGTGTTTCCGTTGACGCCTCTCTAAATATGTAATATAACCTAGTACAACCTAGGTAGTTTAATTTTGTTTGGCATGCTGGAAATACGTTTTTGCAGAAAAAATCTGTGGGATATATGTTTTTTTAAAGATATCTGTCAATATATAGCCATCTATACCTAGTCTAAAAATGATGCACGTAATTGTGATTATGATCCCTATATATTTGTTACCACTACTGTTTGATGGACAGGCAATGAAGTTGAATGTGAGCAACTTGTGTGGATTCCAAAAAGGGTTGGGCAAAGTGTTCCTTTCAATACTTACATCTGGAGAAGAGGCACTATTCCTATCTGGTGGGGTGCTGAGTTAAAGCTGACTGCTGCAGAAGCAGAAATCTATGTTGCGAGTCGTGACCCTTATAAAGGAAGTGCTCAATATTATCAGAGGTTAACTAAAAGATATGATGCCAGAAACCTAGATGTAGCTGCTAGCGGGAATCAGCGAAAGATTGCCTTTGTTCCAATTATATGTGTTAACTTGCTTAGGAATGGTGAAGGCAAATCAGAATCGATTTTAGTTCAGCATTTTGAGGAATCTTTGAATTACATTAGATCAATTGGAAAACTACCTTACTCTCGGGTTCATTTAATAAACTACGATTGGCATGCCAGTGTGAAGTTGAAAGGAGAACAACAAACAATTGAAGGACTTTGGTACCTTCTAAAAGCACCCACCAATGCTATAGGCATCACTGAAGGGGATTATCTGCCTTCTCGTCAGCGCCTCAAAGATTGCAAAGGTGAAGTAATTTACAGTGATGACATTGATGGAGCATTCTGCTTAAGATCACATCAAAATGGAGTGATACGTTTCAATTGCGCTGATTCTTTAGATAGGACCAATGCTGCTAGTTTCTTTGGTGCCCTCCAGGTTTTCGTGGAGCAGTGCAGACGGTTAGGTATATCACTTGACAGTGATTTGGCATATGGCTATCAGTCATATAACAACAATGGGGGTTACACAGCTCCATTACCCCCTGGCTGGGAAAAACGGACTGATGCTGTAACCGGCAAAACATATTTTATTGATCACAACACAAGAACAACTACTTGGAATCATCCCTGCCCAGATAAACCGTGGAAGAGATTTGATATGACATTTGAGGAGTTTAAGAGATCGACGATCTTATCACCTGTGTCTCAATTAGCAGATTTGTTTTTGGTTGCTGGTGATACCCATGCAACATTGTATACTGGTTCCAAAGCTATGCACAGCCAAATTCTTAGCATATTTAATGAAGATGCAGGCAAATTTAAACAGTTTTCTGCTGCACAGAATATGAAAATTACCCTTCAGAGAAGGTATAAGAATGCAGTTGTAGATAGTTCTCGTCAGAAGCAACTGGAGATTTTTCTTGGACTAAGGCTTTTCAAGCATTTTCCATCAATTCCAATCCAGCCATTACATGTACGTTATTGTTGTTCTACACTCTTCTTGCATGTGACTCTAGTTTCTTTCTTTTTCTTTTCTTCTTTCGATTTTCTTTAAATAGTGTTTTCTTGAAATATCCATTTTAACTTATCCGCTTTCTTCTTAGTATTTCCTTACATCCATCGAGTGCATCCTATTTGACCTGATCATCCTATTAATGAGTTCTTTTATCTTCAATAATCGCTGGCAACTTGGATCTTTCTCTACGCATTAACTTGTTTCTACACTATTATGGTTTTCCTTTCCGACACTCTTTTTGATGCATAAGCATGAATCTCAACTTGTTCAAATCATGTTGGACTTCTATAATATCCACAATTGTAATTTGATGTCTGTTTTATTTGTATATTGTCGGGAATGGGAAAGGAAGAGGAGAGGGTGAAAAGGGAGACATCTACTCCACCTATTGCTTTAAGAAACCTCTTTCTTGTCAGTGGGGGAGGAGATGATTCCATTTGATGAAACATCTATAATTCCCTGCAGTTGTTGATGGGTGACTGGAGTTGAAAGAAAATTATTTCTAATCTCAAGGGGGTTTGAAGTAGCTGATCTGGGAAGTTGCATATCTCTTCACTTTTTTCTTCCTTTCCCATTTTCCTCTTGACAGCACAAAAGGGGGAAAAAGACCTTTACTGTTTGTATTCTATGTTGCTTCTTCCCACATTCATCTACACACCTCAACCATTTGGTAATGATCGAGATTTGCTGTTTGGTGTTTTTGGCTTGATAAAAGGCAATCCTGGACAGAGCAAGCATGGGGTAGAATCCTTTTGTTTTGGTTTCTTGTTAGTTCATAACAACTAAGATCTTTCATGGCTTGTCACTATGTTTTTTATGGGCAGATTGTGCTAGCTTCTTTTGTTTTTTCCCCTTTTAGTGCTCTTCATTCTTCTTTTTCTCTGATGCAAGCTCTTGATTCTTCAACTAAGTTGCTTGGACTCTTCACTTTCGGTGCCGCACCTGTGTCGACATGACGTGGGTGTGGGTGTGGGTGTGGGGTCTGTACCGAATCTGGTCAACCGATTTTGGGTACGTTGACTAAAATCGACGGAGAAATTCGGGACATACAATGATTTTTGAAATCAAAACTAAAGTTAGGGTGAAATTGAAGAAAAGTATATAAATTTCTATGTCAGTGGTTTTCCTTTTATCTCCTTCTCGGATTCTCTTTTTGATCAATATCTTTTCCTTCTCAGAATACCTTGAAGTTTTCTACATAATGTCTCATAATTTAGATATACTTTTATACCTCTATTTTTAGATATTTGAATTATTTTTGGCCAAATCCTCGCACCCCGTATATGTCCTGGATCCATAACCTCGAATTTTGAAATTTGGATCATGAAGGATCCGACCTCTAGATCCGCACCCGTAGCGGACACCCGCACCTGAGTCCGAGCTACTTAGTTCTTCATTATAGAATGCCTTTTGTCCAAATATCATATTTCTGGCTTTGTCTTATAAATTAAACTATTTTTATACTTTTAAAAAGATTGAATATAGATGTGGTAAGAAAGGCATAGAAACAGGCAAAGGAAGGGACAACTCTCAAAATTATTGAGCGATAGGTTGCATCAATTGACTCTGAAGGGCTTCAAGGTCTTAAGACACTGTTTTCCATATTCTAACTTGCAAGGTGTATATTTGTGGATTCGTCAATGGTGATTCTAAAAAGACAAAAAGGACACATTTGGAAACTATTAGAACTTCCAAATTTAAATAAATTACTCCATATAGTATTAGATAATAATAATAATATACTGGACCATCTAGACTTTTTGGTTTCAGTACCGGCTGGGTTCTAAAATATCCTGAAATTGTTGCTGAAGCTTTTCTTTGTGAAGATGAAAACTCAATGATAAAAGCGCCATAAGTCTAAAAAGCCCCATATCATTCAGCATTTGCTAAATCTGTCCTAATACTGTGAACTATTCTATTCTTTTTCTTTTCAACCTAAATGAGTTGTGCCTTTTTATTTTTTATTTATCAGTCAGAGGAATTTTCTTCCAATTTTCTGTAGTTGAGGACCTTGAGGTTATATATTTGGAGTGATACTAACTCTTTTTTTGAAAGTTATTTGAAAATGATTTTGTCACTGTTGTCATCACCATATGACAGTTTATGCTGATTTTGACAGGTTGCATCTCGTCCCACTGGATGCTTTCTAAAGCCAATCGTGAACATGTTCCCGATTTCTGATGGTGGAGCAAGTCTTCTTAGTTTTAAAAGAAAAGCAATGACATGGGTACCTACATTATGTTTTCGGTATTTTGAAACTACTTGTTATTTGATAATAGCATCTTCCACATTATACTTGAAGGTTTATATCTACATCACACCCCTTGGGTGCGGCACTTTCCCTGACCCTCCTTAAACGCGGGATGCCTTGTCCACTGGGCTGCCCTTTTCATCTTACACATTATAAAAGTCCTGTGCCATTTCGTCTACAAGAGGTTCATATATATCCCACAGCATTGTGCTCCTAGTCTCACTTGTGTACACATCTTCTTACAGGTCTCCCCACAGGCTACCGATGTGGTTGAGCTCTTTATTTACCTTGGCGAGCCTTGTCATGTTTGTCAGCTACTTCTCACTGTTGCACATGGTTCTGATGATTCAACGTTCCCATCGACAGTTGATGTCAGGATAGGGCGTTATCTAGATGGACTTAAACTTGTTCTGGAGGTATGTTACATCTCTATTGTGAAATTGTTGTGCCTGTACCTGACTGTTACTTGCTTCTGCTATTTATAAAATTCAAATCTGTTAGATCTTATGCAATTTGTGCATAGGCATTTTCTCTCCCAACTGTGATGAGAGTTTTACGCCTTGCCTTTTAGATTTTGATAATGGCTAAAGGTGTGTCTGTACTCTGTGGGATAGGGATTTATTATCCACCTGTTACTGGGAAAAGGAAAATAACATGCATATGTGGCTCTTTTTTCCTGGCGGATGACACATTTATTTTATGTTTGTGATAATCCCGTTGACATGAACATGTGCACAAGTGTTGTATTTTTGACAGCTATTATTGTTCTTTGTTCTCCTACCACATATCCTCCTGCCGCATATCTGCAAAGGGAAATCTTTCATAGAAAGTAAAATAGTTAAAGAAGTTTTCATGTGCCTATATGTCCAGGGTTACCATCAAAAGTTTTCAATTTTTACATGCAATTTCTTCACAGGGAGCTTCTGTACCACAGTGTGCAAATGGGACAAATATTTTGATACCATTGTCAGGACCAATTAGCGAAGAGGACATGGCTATCACTGGTGCACGTGCACGCCGTCATGCCCAAGATACTTCCACCCTTCCATTATTGTATGATTTTGAGGAACTTGAAGGAGAAGTGGATTTTCTTACTCGTGTTGTTGCACTCACGTTTTATCCTGCTGCGGATGGTGGAGGCCCTATAACTCTTGGTGAGGTACAAAGAAACTAAATAATTGTACTTTTTAGGTGTCCTTTCTTTTAAAACCATTTTCTTTTACACCCTCTAACATAGTTAGCCCTTTGTGAAAATTTTTGGGGACTAGATTTCTCTGCATATGTCTTGTACATTGTACTGTTTTACTTATTCATTGATGTGTTCTTTTTCAATGAGAAATGGTTAAAAGGAATCTATGGCCTGATAAAGAAAATGTTTAAAAGGAATGGATGGCCTGATAAAAATGTTTAAAAGGGAACCATAGAAGGAAATGGAGACATACCTAAATTCCTTAATTTGGAAAGATAGGCGAGTAACATTTCACCGTCCCTTTATTTAAATATGAAAATATGTGTATCTTCTTTTGGCAAGATCGTCCTGTACAAACTTTTGTTACTAAATTGGCAGCATAAAAAAGGAACCTTTGTTACCCGATTGGAATAACATTCGATGTTCATCTGATCCTTAAAAGTAGAATTTGGAAAAGCATTATGGGAAGAACATTATCCAGTTTACACAAAACCATCATTATATGTATCATGCAATTAAATCATCTGAATTAGATGCCTTTACTCAAGTATGGACCCATGCTGCTGCATGACACTATCTTCAATCTATTCAGTACATTTTTTCGCTGTTGTAAAACATATGCAGATTGAGATACTTGGAGTGCCTCTTCCTTGGAGGTTCATATTGAAACATGAAGGCTCTGTAACTAGATTTGCTGAACAAGCAGAAACCCATCATGATACTAATAACCCTTTTCTGACTGAGACCGAACACAATCCTTTTGCTTCTGCTTTAGCCACTGATGCACAAGCAAACTCGTCTGCTGACTTATGGGTAGACCTTTTAACGGGAGAAAGCAGAATTCCAGATTCTAACAGGCAGCCGGCGACAGAAACTGTCTTCCACGGCGGAGATGACTTGCTTGACTTCTTGGATGATGCTATTGTGCAACAACCAAAAGAAGCTAATAGTTTTTCCAAGAGCACATCTAAAGGGCCTACTGACAATAACACTCAACGCTATTTGGATTGTTTCAAACTGCTTGTTGGACCCCAAATGGTACGCATCTTTTTAGATTTGTATTATTTTTAAAATTGCTACTTTTATGCTTCTGATCAACTACTGAGTTGTATGGTTCTACACTGGTAATAGCTAAGGATGCAAGAAGTTTAGATGCTAAGATGGCTTAACTACTGCAGGAATTGACTATAAATGCAAAGACTGTGATCTTAGCCAATCTGAATTAACATAAATGCCTTGTCAAAGTCATAAATGCTTCTTCGTGAATTGTGTTTTTTCCAGTATGGCATCTTTTGCCTAAATAAAAAAGAATGTGAAGTACAAATTAATGTTCTCTGGCCAATAAATCTGCCAAAATTTTATGAAATATGATTTTTTTGTACATTTTATCAGAAGGGTGTAACAAGGGTTTCTCTCCATAATAGTAAGTGGCGTTTTTTGAAACAGGAACTTCTAATGTGGAGTTTAATGTGTACTTGATTAAGTAATCAATGTAGAGTTTAGAAATATCTTTGATGAGTTGACCAAGTTGTCGTGTGGATAAGGGAAACAGAGGGACTTTACATTTAGTATAAAGTACGATTTTTTTATTTTTAGCGCTTTGGACTATCTTATCTTTCGTCTTACGTTTCACCTGGAAGGATGATTTACTTCTGGCAAGATGCTTGATTGCCTCATTCTCCACTAAAGGATTAGCATTCAAAACTGTATGGGAGATTAGGTTAGAAGACATTTGGGAAATGGAGAGCGTGTGTTCTGCTTCAACAGTTGGAAAACTTCGTAGAGGTACAGTCATGTATTCAATTGTTTGGAGGGATAATGGTAATGATCAGTTTTGGCTATAAGTTGCTCTCCATAGGAAAGACATTTCAAGCTGCCGGGATGGAGGAGAACCTAGAAAAACAACTCTTGAAGACTTGAACATGACTTGTGGTTAAGGAACCTTACTTAACTATGTCTAACCTACATAGAAGGGGCACATGCATGTGTAGTGGATGTGCTATTGAAGAAGCGTATGGATATGCTAACCATTTCTTCATCCACTGCATAATAGGCAGCCAGATATGGAGCATGATATTGAACATATTTGAGGTGAAATGGTCCATTACAAAGCAAAGGATTGAAGGAGTTATGCAAGTGTATATCTCAGAAAATTTGGTGGCTAAGTTGCGGTGAAAGGAATTAGAGACTCATCTAAGAAAATAAGGAAAATGTATGTGTACTATTTTGCTGGTTTTGCAGTGCAACATGCTAATTGTAAATGGTCTTGATATTATGACAGATTTCCGTAGTTCCTTGCAGAAATAGGATAGGAACTGAGTTTTTTCCCCTGTAATATACATAATGGTAGCACCCATCTAGTGCTGAAGATTTCTCAATTTAATTATACTTGAGAGAGCATTCAAAGATGAAGTTCATTATCATATCTCTCTTAGCTTTTTGGTGCAACATGCAAAATGTATTTGATGTAGATAGCCTTCTAGATTTCCACAGTTACCTCTCCAATTAGACTAGGTAGAAACTGGTTTTTTTTAAGGTTCCTGGATATGGAAATTGCATCCTGATGTAACTCACAGTACAATCTTTGTTCTACTTTATTTTCCCCAACAAAATGCTCACTTATCTAAAACAAAAAATTGGCAGAATACCCAACTAAACCCCTGCACTTAACACGGTATACAGTGAACACCTAAACTTTTCGTAGTCCTAATTACCCCCTGGGCTTGGCTATTTGATAACCTTTATTCCGCTTGATGCCGACGAGGCAAAGAGCGTGGATACACTCTCTTTTAGGCATGTGGGAGTAAAGAAAAAATAAAAAAAATCAGCTTCTCGGTGGAATTTTTTCCAACCGTTAATTGTCACATGATCAGTTAGAATAGTTTATTTGTTCCCACTATGTATTTTTTCTTGTTTTTTCTGTAATTGAAACATCCAAGTGGACCAAACTGGTGATGGGGAAGCATGCAAGGTGTTTGGAATCAATGTAAAGGGTTTTGAACATGAATCTTTGACATGATTATGAGATTGGAACAAAGCAGACAACAACAATTGGTAATCAATAAAGCAAGGGATGGGGGTAAGAAAACAAAGAAGATGAAGGGAAAAACTCAAGTCAAGAGGTTGATTTGCATGGTGAATTATGATGGGGGTGAGAAGAAGAACAGGGGTAGGAAATTCTAATCCTTTTCTGGATGAAAGTTAAGATTTTGAGCTGGAACATAAGGGGGTTGAATAACAATTGGAAGGGGGACACACTTAAATCATTAATGAGTGAGTGAAAACCAGATGTTCTCTATCTTCAAGAAACTAAATTGGAAGAGTGGAACAGATTTTTAGCCAGGCAGATTTGGGGCAACAGATGGGTCAATCGGCTGGAGCTCAAAGCTAGTGGTACTAAGGGCGGGATCATCATCATGTGGGATAGAAGACAGTGGACTTGCACTCAAATATAACAGAGGATTCACTCTATTTCTTTTATGTTGGAAAGTCTAAATGAAGTTTTCAGTTGGTGCTTTATAGGGATCTATGGGCCACACACTAACATTGAAAGGGAAGAGTTATGGAATGAACTTGGAGTTGTAAGAGGAATTTGGCCGGATCAGTGGGTGATAGCGGGTGACTTCAATGTATGCAGATTCGAAAATGAGAGACTCAATTGTGTGAGAAGGTCCAGGGCCATGCAGAATTTTTCAAATGTAATCTAGGACCTCTGCTTGGTGAATCTTCCTTTACCGGGGGCTTTTTACACATGGACTAGAGGGGACTACGCTATTCAATCATATTGCTCTCCCTGATTTCATTTCTGATCACATTCCAATCATGCTAGAATGTGGTGACCGGAATATTAATCTTTCTTACTTCAGATTTGAGAACATGTGGCTGGGGATGGAGGGCTTCATGGATAAAGTCAAGGCATGGTGGCAGAGTTATGAAGTTAGCGGCAGTCCTGACTTCATTCTTACACAGAAACCCAAGCTACTCAAAAAAGATCTTACCATCTGGAATAAGGAGGAACTGGGACTGAAAGGGCTCAAGAAAAGAAAAGCACTAGAAGACCTTCTCATATTACAACAGAATGTTGAAGGGAGAATACAAGTTCAGAAGATCATAAGCCTAAAAATGGAAGTGGAACAAATAGCCAAAGCTGAAGAAATATTCTGGAGACAAAGATCAAGATGCCTATGGCTCAAAGAAGGTGAGAGAAACACAAAGTTTTTTCAGAAGATGGCTAATTCCAACAAAAGTTCAAATGAATTGACAGGCTCAAAGTGGCGGATCAAATTACTGAAGACAAAGATCTCATCAAGGGTGAAATTCTCAGTTTTTACTCGCAAATCTTCTCAGAAAATGAAAATTGGAGACCTACAACAAGATTTGATGATGTTGCAACAATCACAAGGGAAGAAAAAGAGTGGCTAGAGAGAATATTTTCAGAAAAGGAGGTTATATCAGTCATAAAAGGGTGTGCTCCACATAAAGCTCGAGGTCCAGATGGTTACACCATGGCATTTTTCTAGAAATCATGGGAGACAAACAAGATATTATGGGAGCACTCCAACTCTTTCATCAGAATGGTCAGATGACCATGTGATGCAATGCCTTCTTTATTGCACTGATTCTCAAAAGAAAGGTGCAATAAAACTCAAGGACTATGGAGGTGGAGGTGAGGGTGAGGAATCCGACAATCAGTTTGGGTTCATGCCGGGTGGCTCCACTACGGAAGCTATCCACCTTATTAGGAGGTTGGTGGAACAGTACAGGGATAAGAAGAAAGATCTGCGCATGGTGTTTATTGACTTGGAGAAAGCGTATGACAAGGTCCCTAGCGAGGTGCTCTGGAGATGTCTTGAGGCAAAGGGCGTGCCGGTAGCCTACATAAGAGCGATCAAGGACATGTATGATGGAGCTAAGACTAAGGTTCGGACTGTGGGAGGAGACCCGGAGCATTTTCCGGTTGTTATGGGATTGCACCAAGGTTCTGCGCTTAGCCCGTTCTTATTTGCCTTGGTGATGGATGCATTGACACACCATATTCAAGGGGTTGTGCCATGGTGTATGTTATTTGCTGATGACATAGTTCTAATTGATGAGACGAGAGTCGGTGTTAACGAGAGATTGGAGGTTTGGAGATAGACCCTCGAGTCTAAGGGTTTCAAATTGAGCAGGTCTAAGACAGAGTACCTGGAGTGCAAGTTTAGCGCTGAGTCGAGGCAGGGACGTGAGGCTTGGATCACAGGTCATCCCCAAGAGAGATAGCTTCAAGTATCTTGGGTCGATGATCCAGGGGGACGGGGAGATCGACGAGGACGTCACTCACCGTATAGGGGCGGGCTGGATGAAATGGAGGCTTGCATCTAGAGTCTTGTGTGACAAGAAAGTGCCACCGATACTCAAAGGTAAGTTTTATAGAGCTGTGGTTAGACCGGCCATGTTGTATGGGGCAGAGTGTTGGCCGGTTAAGAATTCCCATATCCAGAGGATAAAGGTAACAGAGATGAGGATGTTGAGGTGGATGTGCGGGCACACTAGGATAGACAAGATTAGGAATGAAGATATTCGGAAGAAGGTGGGCGTGGCCCCTGTGGATGTCAAGATGCGGGAAGCGAGGCTTAGATGGTTCGGGCACGTGCGGAGGAGAAGCCTTGATGCTCCGGTGAGGAGGTGTGAGCGGTTGGCCGTGGTGGGTACGAGAAGAGGTAGAGGGAGGTCTAAGAAGTATTGAGGAGAGGTGATCAGGCAGGACATGGTACGACTGCAGATTTCCGAGGACATGTCCCTTGACAGGAAGGTCTGGAGGTCAAGCATTAAGGTTGTAGGTTAGGGGGTAGTAGAGCTTTCCTTACTTCATACAGGGGGTGAGGCGGGGTTGGATTAGGGTTGATCTTAGATGGCTTGCAGTTTATGTTGAATCCACACTATCCTTGCTGTTTATCTTAGCCCCGGGCCTTAGTTACTGGTTACTGTTATTGCATGTCATTTATCTTTTGGTTGTTATGCTTCTGTTACTATTACGGTTTCTACTGGAGTTACTAATGAATTGTTTTTTCTCTTTCTCTTTCTTTTTTTCTTCTCTGAGCCGATGGTCTATCGGAAACAGCCTCTCTGCCCTATCGGGGTAGGGGTAAGGTCTGCGTACACATTACCCTCCCCAGTCCCCACTTTGTGGGATTTTACTGGGTAGTTGTTATTGTTGTTGTATGGACCTATCTTCTTAATTAGAAGTGAATATAAGACTGCCTATAAAATCGAGAAGGACAGTGGAAAAGAGTGATTGGAAAGCTCTTCTCAGGACACCAAAAGGCATTCATTAAAACAAGACAAATCACTGATGCTGCACTAATTGCTAATGAGGTATTGGACTGGAGGCAGAAACCAGGTTAAGGCAGCGAGTGTGAGGCATACTTTTCTCCATTGTGCAGTTGCAACAGATTGAGTATGTTCATTTCAATTTTTTGACTAGGCTGAGTCATGCCTAATTGTATTAAAGATGCCTAGGAAAGCTGGTGTTCTTGGAGAGTTGGCAAATTCATCAAAAAAAACTTGGGTTTTGTTACCTGCTTCTAAGTTTTGGTGCATATGGACCGAAAGGAATATGAGATGTTTAGATAGGATAACAACTCCAAACCATGCTCTTAAAGCTAAATCTTTATTTAACCTTTTTACTTGGCTTAATTAGGCACCTGTATCTTGTTATGATCATTTTTTGGACTGTGTTTGCTCCTTAGTTTTAACATAGGTTTTTTGTTGATGTTCATGAACAGTCACACTCTATTTACTTGTACCCTCTTTCGCTATGCATCTTCTTGATGCCTTTAATGAAATTCTCTAACTTCATCATAAAATATATAGTGCATGTTTTACCCCAACTTTGTATATCTATTTAGATGCAATGACTATTTGTTTCAATTGTATATGTTTTCCTTTGATACAAAACAACACAACATACCCAGTAATATCCCACACTATGGGGTCTGGAGAGGGTAGTGTGTACGGAGACCTTACCCCTACCTTGTGAGGATGGAGAGGCTGTTTCCAATATAAACCTCGACTCAGGAAAGCATAAGCACCACATTAATGAAAATATAGACTAGAAGGGACAGTACCAAAAAGCCATATAAAAGCAGAATAAAAACAATAAGACAATAAGGTGATTAGCAATGAAAGAAAACAACGGTTAGATATAAAACCTACTACCAACAGAAAGCGAGACTGCGTGCCAATACTACTGTGTTGAACACTCTAGACTACCTACTCTACTACCCTAATCCTCGACATCCATATCTTCCTATCAAGGGTCATGTCCTCGGTCAGCTGAAGCTGCGCCATGTCTTGCCTACTCACCTCTCCCCACCTCTTCTTTGACCTACCTCACCTCTCCGTAGGCCCTCCAATGTCAACCTCTCACACCTCCTCACCGGTGCGTCTGTGCTCCTCCTCCTCACATGACCAAACCACCTAAGCCGCGCTTCCCGCATCTTGTCCTCAATAGGGGCCACACCCACCTTGTCACGAATAATCTCATTTCTGATCCTATCTAACCTGGTGTGCCCGCACATCCATCTCAACATCCTCATCTCTGCTACCTTCGTCTTCTGGACATGAGCGATCTTATAAAAAATGGTAGAAACCCCGTATACAAGCCATATACCAAAAAGAAAAGAACCTACACCAAAATATGATTCTCAACAAAAAACATCCAATCCTCTGTGCAAAAAGGGATCCCATGATTACACCAAGAAATAACAAGAAATATAAGACTATTTTGTAATTTTACAAAATCTTGTTCCATACCTTCGAATGCTCTCTTATTTTTCTCATTCCAAATAACCCACATGATCGCTAATGGGGCAAAACGCCATGCCCTTGGACTTCTCTTCCCACTCGTGTGAGCCTTGCTATGCAACGCCTCCTTTACTGTACCCGACTTTACCCATTGCGTCCCAAACAAATTAAGAACCATCCTCCATAACCGATTATCCACCTAGCAAAGCAATAAGAGATGATATACATTTTTGCCCGATCTTTTGCACAGGAAACACCAACTAACATAGATGATTTTCCTCTTTCTTAGATTTTCCGCTGTCAGAATCATCCCTCTTGCCGCCAACCCAGCAAAGAAACACACTTTTCTCAATGCTCAAGGAATCCAAATAGAGAAATGAGGAAAGATATGTTCTTTCTCCCTAGAAGACTCTAATAGTAAGATTGAATATCCAATCTCTAGTCTCACGCCACCTCCATATATCCAATGAAATACTCAGCGTATCCAACCCATACTGTAACTCAACCATTTTGTGAAATTCTTTTATCTCCCATTCCTGTAGGTTCCTCATAAATCTCAAATCGTAATGAACTTCTCATAGGACCTGCAAATTTGTTGGACTATCATCCCTTTTGGCACGGTACACTATATAAGTTAGGGAATGCTACTTTCAACTCGATCTCCCTGCACCACTTTTGTGCCCAAAAACTAATCCTGCTTCTATCCCCAACCCTGAAGGAGAGTCCACTAAAATTTTTGCACCCCGTCATAATACTCCTCCATAATCTACACCCAAACGGTACTGTGATTTTTGAGTCCTCCACCCCCTTTCTGTAACACCATATTGTTCCGCTACCACCCCTCTCCAAAATGCATTCTCCTTCACCCCGAATTCATATTTTCGGGCCAAATCTTAAAAAACTTTGTTGGAACTCTGTTATTTTGAGCCAAACAAAAAAAGTTTTAGCCAAATAATGGAGTTCCATGTGTGTATTTATTTTATTCTTCTTGAGATGCAATGATTATTCATTTTGATTGTGTATTTGTTTTCCTTTTTGGGACAAATCTGTAAAGAACGTGGTTGGCACTCTATTATTTATAGTCAAATAAAAAACTTCTTAGTCAAAATAATGGAATTCGAAGGGTGTTTTTCTGTTTATTGCTTCTTAGTCGCAAAGATTATTTATTTCAGCTGTGTAATTTTTTTTCAGGCTAAATTTGTAAGTAACTCGGCTAGAACTCCATTATTTTAAGCCAAATAAGAAAACTTTTAGCCTAAATGATTGGGTACCAACCATGTATTTCTTATTGTTCCTTCATTAGATGCTATGACTTTGTTTCGATTGTGTTTTTTTTCCGAGCCAAACCTGTAAAAAGTTTGGCTCAAACTCCATTTTTGGTCAAATTAAAAAAAAATTTAGCCTATATTGGAGTCCCAGCTAAGTGTCTTCCAAATTTGGCCCGAAAAGTTGATTAAAATAATTAATGAATTCTAAAAGGTAAAAAAAAATATATTATCTTTAAAAATGCCACGTGGACAAACAAATACACGTGCTAGTGCATATCTCTCATATCCTTGGACTAAGATCGCCCATACGGTAAATGCTACCAAATAGCCAAGTCTAGGGGGTAATTAGGACTACGAAAAGTTTAGATGTGCACGGAGTAAACCATACCAAGTTCAGGGGGTAGTTTGGTATTCTGGCAAAATATACTCAATGAAATTATACTTGTTCTTAGAAGGAAAATAGCATAGTATCATGTCCTATTTATGTCATGTTCCCTAATTTTTGTTATTTTTTCTGTTGATGGTATGTTTTAGTTTTAGACGTGCCAGTGTCTTGATGGAGCAGAAGCTATCAAATATTAACCAAGAACGGAAGAAATCTTCTTTAAAATGAAGATGGAAAAACAAGAGAGTAAATACTAATAATCAATACTCCCTCCGTTTCAATATAGATGATGTAGTTTGACTTGGCACAAAGTTTAAGAAAAAAAAAAGAAGACTTTTGAAATACGTGGTGCTAAAGCTTAAGGGGCAAAAGCTTAGTGGGGCTATGATATTTTGTGTGGCTATAAAAACTTCTCATTAAGGGTAAAGTGGGTAGAATGAAATGTGTTATTCTTTTTGGAACGGACTAATAAGGAAAGTGGGTCATTTAAATTGAAACGGAGGGAGTAATTAATAATAAATAAAGCGGTTAAGTGACTTTTTAATGCAAACTCCTTCCTGGGCCCCAAAAGGGGCCTTTTCCAATTACTTAGGAAAATAACGAAACTCAACCTGAACTAATATGCATACCAGCAACATATTTGCAGAATAGGACCGAAAAGAGAACCGCATAAAAGGATAAAAGTTTGACCGAAGAACCTAATATAACTAAATGCGAAAAAAGGGCCAGACAATTCGAGGAGGGGTTGGAAGGTGTGCGCTCATGGATTCTATTAAGAGTATAGATTCGTCTTATGAAGACAAGTGCGTGATTGTGTCCCCCAACTATGGTGGGATCAAAAGTAATGACCATTTAAGCTCTTAACAACACAATGATTTGATTTCTAATGGTCCCAGCTGTCTGTCACGGACTTGTCTTTCATCATGTCCCTATCAATGCTTCTCAAGAGATGATTATCATGATGCATCCTTTATATGTCGTTAGTAATGCATGTATGAAATTTGTAAGGTGTTAAGAATTTTCTATACGAAGCACCTCGCTTCCTTGTTGAATATACAGTGTAGCTTGACCACATAAATAAGGTTCCATTTTTCTCCAGTTTGTTTGTTGTTATTAATAGTCCCTTTGTGGCTGTTACACTTGTACAAGAAGAACTTCTAATGTACGTGCATGCTTATTAATGGTATTTTGACTAGATGCAGCTGGAAAGATTTGTGATTTAATTACGTCTCTACTGTCAACATTTAACTTTGCAGGAGAGGAAAATAAGTTACATGGCAGCTATGAAACTTGAAATTGAACGCTTTCGCGTGAACCTCTCCGCTGCTGAAAGGGATAGGGCATTGTTGTCAATTGGCGTTGATCCTGCCAGTATAGATCCAAATCTGCTGCTTGACGATTCTCGTATAGGAGGATTGTGCAGGGTAGCAAACATCCTTGCTTTGCTTGGACATGCTTCTCTTGAGGATAAAATTACTGCTTCCAGTGGTCTTGAGTTTGCTGATGATAGTGCTATAGATTTCTGGAATATAGCAGGAGTGGGGGAGATATGTATGGGTGGGACATGTCAAGTTCATGCTGAAGATGGGCCTGTATTGCATACACTCTCTGTTTCCACTACTGCACAAGCCTCTTTTGTGTGTTCTGAATGTGAGAGAAAGGTTTGTAAAGTTTGTTGTGCTGGGAAAGGGGCTCTTTTACTTGCTATGGTTAACTCTAGGGAGGTTGCTAGCTACAACGGCGTGAATAGCCAGGGAGGAGCAATCTATGCAAACTCAGTTGATTTATCCTCAAATCATTCCATGATACTTGATGGTGTCATTTGCAAAGCCTGCTGCCATGATGTTGTGCTTGATGCATTAATCTTGGACTACATCAGGGTTTTGGTTGGGCAGAGGAGGAAAGCTCGCGCAGATACTGCTGCTCAAAAAGCTGTAGACCATGTGATCAGATTTACTTCGAGGAATAATTGCCAACTGACTCCAACAGCGTATATGGAATTATTTAATGGAGAGGAATCACTTGCTGAGTTTCCATTTGCAAGCTTTTTGCACCCGGTAATATTTTGGACCTATCCCAGTACACATTTTATTAGCACTTTTTATCTTAGAAAACCTTTTGATGTTTTGATTTTTCAGAAACTGTATGCTAGGTTTAATCTTTTCATGAATCTGCTTAAACCAAATGCTAATGATGCAGCATCTCATGGTTGACGATAAACTGGATTTGCTTAGACCCAAAAGGCTACTACTTAATTTGCCGAATTACTTGATGCCATTGAAAGAATTATTTTCTCCATCTAATTACTTGATACAGTAATTTAGGTGAAACTTGCTTGATGGAGAGCTTAGGTTTTAGCTCAAACATTATGCATATCTTGTTGGCCATACTTCCTAAAGTTTAAGAAGTCATTTCTCTATCTTTCTCCTGATGTGTAAACCAGATTCTCTTGCCTGAAATTTGGCATTGGAAGAGTGGAGGTTTCTAAGCTGATTTTGGGCTCGTCCCTAGACGGCAACACGAGTTGATATAGTATTAGATGGATGAACTGAGAGAAAGGTTTAGGTAGCCTATAACGGGGCTTAAGACTGCTAGGCTGACCTGGATAGGTGATAACAAGAAAAAGTGGAAAAGAGGAAAGAGACTGTTTCAAATTCCACACAAAATTCCATAGGATTAACTCCCTTAGGTAAACAACTAAATCTTCCACAGAAACTGACAAATACATCACGGTTCTTCCTTTTGGTGTCCAAACTTTTGTTAGTAAAATTATTACCTCATCAAAAAAATCTTCTTCCAACTTGATTGGTGCTAAATGACTTGAAACATAAAACTGGTATTTAAATGTCAAAATCTAGCTTATATTGATATGAAGATTTGTATGCTGAAGGTTCTCTTAGACATCATATAGGTGGCTCTCAAGTTGGCAACAATTAACTTGATCAGCAATTTTTTGCTGTTCTAGGCTGTATTTCTCTTCCAAAGACTGCCAATCTATCTGGACGACATTTAGTTGAAGTTGAAAAATGAGTATTCAAAGTTGAAGTTGAAAAAAGTATTCAAAAGTTGAAATTGTGAGAACTATTATTTCATCGGAAATACTCATTAATCAAGTTATCCAACTTCAAATTTCTATTTCAAGTTGAAGTTGACAAAATACATAAAATATAAAGCAAACATTGTATTGAAAATAATAATGTAATATTATTACAATAATGTGTGTCCAAGTGGTCGCTTAATTGTGATTATCATCTTTTGGCTGGTTCTCAAAAAGAGTAGAATTTTTTTGGTAAGGTTTTTATCCTGAGAATTATCCTCTAGAAGTACAATCCTATTATAGAACTACATAGAAATTTACAAGGTTAGCTGTTTGGGTGCACTCCATTTAAAATTTCCTTTTGAGAAGCTTAAATTTGCTTTTGGAGCTTAATTGGAAGGATTATGGCTAAGCTATGCAAGTGATTTAATCAAAATACTGGACTATGAAAAGCTAAAGCCAAAGACCACAGATTGTGTTTTCATTAAATATTTAGATTAATTCTCTCATGTATGCTTTCACGTGAGCTCTCTCTTTTGCACCCCATCCTTAATCCAGTGAATATGTTTTTGGCATATTGTCGTTTTTTGATCGAGTATTGATATAAGACTTGGATCTTTACGAGATTCAACTTTAGACCTTAATTAAGTTGTTAATGAAAATATTTGGCTCCTAAAATAAGTTTGATCTAAGGGTGTAGCCTATTGGTCAACGAAGGCGTGAGAACCATGAAGGTTCAAATCCCCACGAAGGCAAAAATACTATGTGATTTATTCTCATCTGTCCAAGCCTTGGTGAACAGAGTTACCGGTACCTGCGGTTGGTGGGAGGTGGGAGGTGGCTGGTGGAAGGTATCCCGTGGAATTAGTCAAGGTGCGCCCGAGCTGGCCGCACACCACGATTATTAAAAAGAAAACGTTTGATCCATTACAATCAAATATAAGTTTGATCCGTTAAAAATAAAAGTAAGCACAATCAATTATAAGTTTAGAAACCAAACATGTTTCTTTTTTTACTCCATGAAGTTTGAAGTTGAATCTTGTAACATATCCTGCTTTCAAGTTCTTATGTCATTCAAATTTCCCAAAAAAAGGAAAAAAGAAATTAATCTAATACGGAAAAGCTGTCATAGCTGTTGAAGTAAAGCTTCCATTGATGATCCATTACAAATAGTTTTTTTTCTTTTTTCATTTGTACATTGTAATGGCTCTTGAATTGTTGCAGCGCCAATGTTAGCTTCCTTGATAGGATGTCTAAATTTTTTTGTAGAAGTTCGTCTTACTTTGGAACTAAAAATGAAAGGCTGTGATGCTTTTGGAAATTAGGCTGTGGTGCAAGCATCTTTATTGTCTTTTTTTGGTGTGTGAATGCTGATGAAAATGGAGTCTATAAAAGAGGGGTCGTATTAGATCAATCAATTTGGTGGGAGCAGTTGGATTCAATCAATTTTCCTGAATTAGTTTCGTAGAAGTGAAACTTTTAAATGGATAAACTTTGGAAATCAAGAAAAATAACTGCAAAGTTAATATGATGATAATTAATGATAATAAGTTACGATAGCCTCGGTGTAACTGGTAAAGCTGGGTCACGGGTTCGAGTCGTGAAAATTGCCTCTTGCAGCGTATGATAGACCCCTTGTGGTCCGGCCCTTCCCAGGACCCGCGCATAGCAGGAGCTTAGTGCACCGGGCTGCCCTAAGTTTTGATTAGCTGTTTTGTTAAATATTGGTACTGCCTTTTCTTCTTCTCCCATTTTGAAACTTGCTGAAGCAATGGTTAGTTTATTAGTGAATCTTGAATTACCTCTGACACTTTGATTCTGCTGGTAATTCAGTCCATAAACGTATTTTGGAATAGGGGGTTGCGAAGTTACTAGTTTTGTTTAGTTATTCCAGAAGTTAACAAATTCTTTCTTATATCTCTAAAAGATACAAACCACCTACTCTTTGTGACGCCCTACGAATGTTTCACTATCATATTGAAGCCCTACAAATGTTTCAGTATCTATAATAGGTGTAATCCTGCTCCTTCTTTTGTAGGTTGAAACAGCAGCAGGTTCTGCACCATTCATGTCATTGCTAGCTCCATTGAATTCTGGAGCACAAGATTCATTTTGGAGAGCTCCCCACAGTGCTGCCTCTGTTGAGTTTGTCGTTGTCCTTGGTGATTTATCTGATGTTTGTGGTGTTGTTCTTCTAGTTAGTCCTTGTGGCTACTCGATGACAGATGCTCCTGTTGTAAGTACACTCCTAACATAACAGATTTTTAGCTTTAGCAAGTTTTTGTCACATCTCAAATATGGAAGAAGCCACAACAGCTCGGACCTGATGTTAATCTGATGTTGTCATGCAATTTGCTAAAGTTTATTATTTATGTGATCTCATGGATGTTGACTTCCAAAAGCAATTATAATTTCTTTTTCTTTTCCTTTTGCTGGAAAGAGAAATGGTATGTATGTTTTAACTTGTCTAACAAAAATCACATGTGATATTGTATGACCCACTTTGCTTTTCATCACATGATTTGCCTATCTTTGTGATCAGAGAGGTTTTTTTTTTTGTGCGACATAAGACTTGAACTGTGCTCATTATTTCTTGTCTCGCCTTGCACCTCAAAGAAGGAAGTGTAAAATGGGTAAATGAGAAAAAGGAAGGCCTCAAATGTGCAGTCTTCTAGGACTATACAAATTGAACTGGAAAGAAAGGAGAAAAGGTTTCCTGTCTCTTGGGTGGAGAGAGATGGTCTGTGGAATATAAACATGATTCTTCCTACTTCCCCTCCCCCAAAGTGGCACTTTCTTTTTATCTTTGGAGCATTCCACAGAAATGGAATTACAGTGTTAAGTTCGCCCACGTTTCCTTTGTATTATTTAGGACAATTGAGTTTCAGATGTGGAAATTTTGCTTTCTTGTGAAGGATGGATTGTGATAAGATGTTTCTCCTTGTGTTTTGTGTGACTGCTTTTATTTTTCCTGATAAACAATCTTAAATGTTGGTTACTTGGTTTAGTAGTCTACATAATCGTGCAATATGTTTAATTAACTACTATCTGTTAAGCTCGTTGTTGAGTAACTTGTAATATACCTAATGGTTTAAATGGGCCTAGATTGACCATAAAGATGAAACTTTTATATGACAGATTCCTAGCGACTTGCTTCTTGTTCATGCAGTTTCTCTTTCATCATGTAATCGCTGTAGTATGTTGCTTATTTCATGCTTTAACTACTTCTAGTATGCCTGTGGGTTTTATCCTAGTTTAGTAACTTGCTTATGACAGATTCCTAGCAAATTGGTTCTTGTTCATGCAATTTATTCCAATTTTAATTGATGTGGTTTCACATTCCTTATATTGCTGAATTCTTGCATTAAGTAAGGAAACTTATGCTGTCTCTGTAGGTTCAAATTTGGGCAAGCAATAAAATCCACAAGGAAGAAAGATCATGTATGGGGAAATGGGATATGAGATCTCTGATCACGTCTTCCTCTGAGCTTTGTGGACAAGAAAAGTCTTCTGAAGTGCCTAGACATGTAAAATTTTCTTTTCGCAATCCTGTTCGCTGCCGCATCATTTGGATAACATTGCGTCTACAAAAAATTGGCTCGAGTTCTGTAAATTTTGAGAAAGACTTGAGTCTTTTGTCTTTAGAGGAGAACCCATTTGCGGAGCCTGTGAGGCGTGCCTCCTTTGGAGGAACAGTTGAAAGTGACCCATGCCTTCATGCCAAAAGAATCTTGGTGGTCGGAAGCCCAATGAGGAAAGATGTTGGTGCATCAAGTCAAGGCTCTGACCAGATAAATACAAGAAATTTGTTGGATAAACCTCTTCCACTAAATAGATTCAAGGTGCAGCAAACTCACAACTCTCTCTAGTAGTAGTTACCGTTTAAAGTTTTGTTCAAGTCCTGAAATAAAAAAGAAGAATAATATTCTAATCCATTCCCGTTCCAGGTCCCAATTGAGGTCGAGAGGCTAACTGACAACGACCTTGTATTAGAACAGTTTCTACCCCCAGTTTCACCTATGGTGGCAGGTTTTCGTCTTGATGGTTTTAGTGCAATAAAACCTCGAGTCACCCATTCGCCACCTCCACAGCAGGTGAATCCATGGGATGTTTCTTCATGTGTATTGGAGGATAGATTCATATCTCCAGCTGTATTGTATATTCAAGTGTCTGCTTTCCAGGTACGAAGACAAACTAACATTTTATCAACTGATAGTTTTCGCTGTCAACAAACTGTTGGACATCCTTCTTGTGAATTGATTCCATGGTTGATCTTGAAAAGCTATAGCTTTTTTATCCGATTTTAGCTCTAGACACCAATGCATTTAGATGAATCTCCTCACTGGTGCAAAATCTCAGTTTGCTAATGACCTGCAGCATGAGATTAAATTGGAGAGGATGGGCTAAACCCTAGAATTCCTCTTGCAAGTATCAGCTTAAGTAACCTGAACTGCTCCAATATATTTTTTGAGATGGTAACAGATCCAATATATTAATAAATCATCAGCACAAATTTTGTACTGGAACCAAGATTACATTAAGAAGAGCTATACGATACGGAGGAATGGAAATGGGCTGAGTGCCCGGCAACAAATTGATGCCAAAATCAATGTCTCTATCGGGCGGCATGCCCGGAAGATCAGCTAGAAACACATCGTGATAATCCCGTACCACTGGGACTGAATCAAGAGAAGGGGTATCAGCACTGACATCTCTCACATAAGATAAGTACGCGGCACACCCCTTCTCAACCATACGCTGAGCTTTTATAAAAGAGATAACTCTACTGGGAGTGTGATCTAAAGTACCACTCCACTCAATACGCGGAATACCTGGCATAGCCAGCGTCACGGTCTTGACGTGACAATCAAGAATAGCAAAATGGNTGTTTCTTCATGTGTATTGGAGGATAGATTCATATCTCCAGCTGTATTGTATATTCAAGTGTCTGCTTTCCAGGTACGAAGACAAACTAACATTTTATCAACTGATAGTTTTCGCTGTCAACAAACTGTTGGACATCCTTCTTGTGAATTGATTCCATGGTTGATCTTGAAAAGCTATAGCTTTTTTATCCGATTTTAGCTCTAGACACCAATGCATTTAGATGAATCTCCTCACTGGTGCAAAATCTCAGTTTGCTAATGACCTGCAGCATGAGATTAAATTGGAGAGGATGGGCTAAACCCTAGAATTCCTCTTGCAAGTATCAGCTTAAGTAACCTGAACTGCTCCAATATATTTTTTGAGATGGTAACAGATCCAATATATTAATAAATCATCAGCACAAATTTTGTACTGGAACCAAGATTACATTAAGAAGAGCTAAGACAAAAACAAAAATTAAACTTCCCTGTTCTTCTCTCAAGGAGCCTAAGACTTCTACGATTGAATCCTGATCATCTGTGTATTCTGCTTTACACCAAAAACTAAAAAGAAGAATGCAATTCATTTTGATCTTCTGTACAGGGCTACTTATATCTTCAAAACACCTTGCATTCCTCTCCTTCCAAATTGTCCACCAAATGGCTGCTGGGACTGTCTTTGTTAGATGTAGAGCTCCCCCCTGTGTGCCAGCTAGACAAAAGTTCATATGTTCTTCCTGGCATTGTCCATTGGATACCCTGATGTTAATGAACAACTCCCACAGTTGTCTTGTCACTCGACAATGTAGAAACAGATGGCTAATTGTCTCTGCATCTTGGCCACACAAATAACATCTAGAACAGATTGGTAACCCTCTTTTCATGAGGTTTTCTTGCTCCAATATTCTTGCCAGCATATAACATATATATCAGTCTCTCCCTCAAATGAACATAGTTCTTCCATGCATTATCCTAGTGTTTGCATGCTGACAATCACTCGATATAGATTGATCAGAAATCTGATTCAAATCCAATATAGCACCTATGGGTACATAAGAAATGTATTGAATCGATTCTTTTTAATGAATATATCACATTTGCAAGATGCCGTATATTCAAGTTAATATTGTGAACCAGTTACATGCATGAATTGTTTTATGAGATAGACTCCTGTGAGTCACCTGACAACCAAGTAATCTGGCTTCAAAAGGTTCGGTAGGCTAGTTCCATTGGACCTTGGATGATGTAGGTAGATATATAGAGTTTAACATGCTTACATGCATGCCAGCAATAAATCCTTACCTTTTCACTGTCGCCCTCAGCTTGCACAAGGAGAAACATAGCATCATTGGAATTCGTCTTGCTAGTGATGGATGGTTTGGGTTTACCAGAATTTCTTCTAGATCAAAGTGAAGATTTTGTGACAAAATGCTTCAACAGAGACTTTTGGATCTAGACATATATTGACATTTTTATGTTACTCCTATTCATTTCAGAACTATTGCATTGTCTATCGTATGTTTCTCGTCGAACTCAACTAGAATTTGCTTCATGGAGAAGAAAGAATCTACCCATCCTTCGTGACAATGCGAATAGCATGCCGAAGCTAGAAAATCAAGCATCTGGTGATGGAAACATATTTTGTTAGTTTATGCTACAATCTTTAGCTGAAACGAATGGACTTTACTTTCCTCCCGTGTGTTGTAACATTCTTGGGTCAATCATTCGAATACAGGCATTTCGCCAGTATAAGATGGCCCGGAAACCCCAGACAATTCCTCCTCTTTTCTACCTTCCCAGACGGAGTTTCTTTTCCTCCACACCTCGATTGATTTGATATGGGTTTTTAATGCATGGACAAGTTTTGTGAGCTATAAAAGCCTACCTGCTGTGGTTTCCCTAGAAACTGTCGTCTTAATTTCGAATATGCCCTGATGAATCTGGTTTTCAGCAGTTTAAAGTATACAATTCTCATGACATATTATCTACCAGGAACCGCCAGTATGGTCACTATTGCAGAACATTAGGCCTGCCAGAAGTGGAAGGCCGGGACAGCAATGTACTTTTGATTCCTAGAGAAATTCTACACCCGAATCTCATTTCGCTTCTTGTGAGATATTGCTGCATTCATGATGACCCATTTAAAGTTCAAGGAAATGATTCAGATGGCTAGAGCGGACTGGTGGCAGAAAGGACTGTCTTTGGCTAATAGAATCAGTTGTATTATTATGCTGATCCTACGAACTCCGGGAAATGGGCAGTCTTCAGTCTATTTGATTAAGAATAATCACACCAATTAAGGTACTCATATGCATGATTAGTTTTTGTATTTTAAGGGTCTATTCATTTTCTGTCTGTTTCAAGGTGCTTTCATCAAAGCATTATTTGATTCATTTCAGGCTATTGTAAGGAGAGTTTGAGTTTCCATTGTAAAATTCTGTGTGATTCATGCCGCAGGCTGTACCAAAACATTTTGCAAGTTTTGGGCCTTAGACGGTGTAAATTTCGAGTTTGTATTAAATGTAATGGTGTTTTCCAGTGCTATGAATTTCAACATGAAAAAGAGGAATAGAACTCGTTGGTTTTCTGCTATAATTAACTCTAGCTATTTTATATACAGAACTAATAATTCCGTTGGTCCTCGTAATGTTACATGCTATTTGGTCCATAAGAATGAGTTATACCTGCAACAAAAGAATGTACAGAAGATTTTCATATAAAGGAAAATTCATTGCGTTTCCTACACTAAAATAATTTGTAAGGTGGATAAATTCACAGGAAGTTTTAGGAAATATGAAATACTTTATAATAATGCGGAACAGGAAAATTTCGAGTTTTCATTCCAGTTCCAAGAAACATCTTTAAATTAGAACAAATGACACAAGTGACAAGTCAATCTTTTATATTTTCAAGCCTCTTATATCAATGCCACTAAAGAATCAGATATTTGATGCAAGTTCAACCGACACAGGCTACAGTCACTGGAGAAAATAATGTATGGTATAGTTCATAGTCAAACTTTTTGGAACAGGGGTGCATCATTATGTTATGAATCAAGTTTTGTAGCGCATCAACTAATATGTTGGTAATCTTTGTCTTAGTTTTTTTCTTCTTTAGTTTTGAAATTGTGGGGTCCATATGCCCCATATGTGAAAGAAAAAAGCTTCTTCTTTTTGTCAAGCAACCATTTAGAAAAAGATTTGGGTGGCTGACTTTTGCAGTAACATTGAATGTCACTGCATACATCAATATGGGCATTCTGCAACTATAAATAGGTGCCTTCTAACTTTCATTTGTAGACACACCAAAAATTTCAGACAATACATCGGAGTGAGAGTGAGCAAGGTATTTTCATAGAGTATAAGAATAATAGTCTGTGAAGAAAAAATAGAGTGTGAGAGATATTGTATGCTGAGCTGAAAACGCAAAAAGAGTATTTTTTTTTTCTTTGAGGTGTAGTGGTCTATAGGAGTATTTTGTATACTTCCGTTACTACACCGTGTAAAATTCCTTGCTATAGTGTTATCAGTTTGGCTCTTCTTGGCTGTGGTTTTTCCCTTAATTCAGAAGCGGTTTCCACGTAAAATCTTGGTTGTCCATTATTGCTGCATTTTTACTCCTGCTATTCCAACCAATTAACTTGTGTTTCGGCGTTATCACAATACGTGAATATTATTTTTACGGGGTTTTATTCCCAAGAAGTGGTATCAGAGCCAAGGTTCTATCTGAGTATGCTCTGTGGTTGCAGCACAGTTTTTGAAATTCCATCAGAAAAGAATTACTTTGTCCTCCTCTAATAAATAGTATTGTACTTTATGATAAAATGATCGAAGCCCAACACTAGTGAATGGTTACTTTGAATGGCACCAATTATGCCATTTGGAAGGGTAAAATGGAAAGATTTGCTACTATGGGCCAAGAATTTTCACACCTGCCTTCACCACTCAAAGCCTGATAATAATCAGACTGAAGAGTGGAATTTTACACAGGCAGGTTTTGCGGCTTTATTAGATAGTGGGTTTGACGATAATGTTTGAACCATATTTCTGGGGAGACACATGCTCGGACCCTATGTGAGCACCTTGAAAGTTGGTATGCTCGAAAAACTTGGAAACAACAAGATGTTTTCGATAAAGCAGTATGGTTGGGTTTAAAAATACCATGATGGTTCCGCCGATGATAAGATCATCTGGATTAATTTTCCAGGGGATCATGAAACCAGTTTATCTGCTTAGGGCAATAATTTATGAAGAAATTTCAAGGCCTTGTTTCTACTTGGTTCCCTACAGATTCTTGGGAAAATTCTTAGAACTTCATATCAAATTTCTGCTCCGGATGGTGTGAATCTCTATGGACTTCCAAGAGCAGCCTTTAAATAAAGAGATGAGAAGAAAATCTCAGGGTTCCTCCTCATCAGATATCTTGGTGACTGACCTACGGGGAGAAGCAAGAAATCGGGGTTCTCAATAGAGAAACATAATAGAAGCAAATCCAAGAAGCAGACTTAAAGATATTGAGGTCTATCATTGCAAGTGAAGAAGAGGGCAACAAAGAAAGTTTGCCTTGGATTTTCGAAAAAGGAGAATAGAGACAAGAAGAACAAAAGAAGATGGATAATCGTGGTGGGCCACCGTTACTAACAATCTGAGATCTTGTATCCATCCTTGATGCGGCATTATCGCCTTTTCTTTTTACGATTTCGTCATATTGTTTTATCATAAGATGTGCGTATTAAGTTGTTTTACTGTTTCTTTTTTTCTTCATGGTTCTTTTTTTCGTTTTTTTTTTATATTTTGCCTTTTTGCCTTTTATTCGTTTTTGCTTTTTCTCCTCACTTTTATTTTCCTGATCTCCCGCCAACTTTCCAGCACCATTTGGTTACTGACATAATCCCCTCATCATCCAAAACACCAAAACAGAGATCAAGTGCAAACGAAACATCAGGTGCATGTTTACATTGTTTAAAAACAAGTTTAGTTGCCAATACTAGTTTAAACAAATCGTTCCAACAACCATCCAACCCTAGATAAAGTCTCAATTAGCCTCATTACTCAAATTACAAAGTCACCTGAGTAAAAGGATGAGAAAAAAATTCTTCCTTGATGTCACATGAGAATGCGGCAACACTTATCCCACAACCCAGCTTGACTCATCACAAGCAATATTTATCAGATTCCGCATCAAGGACGGTAACAGATCTTCCTGATATAACGGTGGCCACACGATTCCATCTTTCTTTCTGTTCTTCCCTTTCTCTATTCTCCTTTTTTTCGAAA